GCATGTGCCCTATAGCATAAAACTCTTAAAAAAAAAAAAAACTGGTGAGGTTTCCATTACCAATGCCTTCAGGCTCTAGATGCCACAGCCTGTACTGGTGGCCTTTAAGCAAGGCGTACAGGAGTCTACCCTGACCCTCATAGTCAGCTCTACTATGGAAATTCTGCCTTGCTGCCCTGCCACTGACACTAAAGTGGGGTGTTTCTCGATCTCCACTAATTTCCACTCCAAAGTTTGGAGCACCTTCGCTTGGTGGACTTAAGCTCACATCCACCTGAGGGGTTTCAGGTCAACCAGACAAGGGAACTGAACGTGAGGTGGGCCATGTGGCTTCCAGCACTGCAGTTCAGGACTCTACTGACTGTGCCACAGAGGCTGAGCCAAGAACATGACTTAGTTGTTATTGTTGTTTTTAATATAGCACTAAAGAAACCTCAACATAAGTTGAAAAGTTGTAGACCTAACAATCTTTAGGGAAAAAAAAAAAACATGCAAATCAGATCTAAGACTTAATACATTTTATTTTCCTTGGGTTAGGATTGGTTACCTAAACTAGTAAATATACACTATGGTTTGATTGTTATCGAATTTCCTTTAGTGTTTTATCTGGTTTACATTATGTTGTTTCGGCAATAGCTGCAGGAAACTAAAGTAAAGAAACTTCGTGGATTATATACTAATAATATTTGCTTTGATGACTTTGAGTGAACTAATATACATTATATTCATAGTGGTATGCTGTAATGACACACAGTGATTGAAGATAAAAATAAATAAATAAATGAATATTTGCTCCATCAGGATCTTATCATTTGTAGGCAATAAATCCAGTGGGCACAGCACACCAAATCAGATCACCATAAATGAAATGTAGGTTGGGGATATTGTAGAGGGTATTCCTTCCTGATAATTAGGCTGGGAGACTTTAACATTTATTTAAATTTTGGATCAAGTACAACAAGGGAAGGTGCCCCAACTTTGAACTAGTGGAGATCAAGAAACCCTCCACTTTGGTGTCAGGGGCAGGGCAGCAGGGCTGAATTTCCACAGAAGAGGTAGCAGCGAGGGTTGGAATAGACTCCTGGACTCTGCCTATAGGCTTCCAGCACAAGCTGTGGCATCGAGAGTCCAAAGGCTTTGGCAATAGAGACCTCATCAGTTTTTAACCTGACTTGAGGTGTCATCCAGAGTCAGCATACATTTGAAATGATTTTGTATAAGAAAGTAAGTTTTAATTACTCAATTCCCTCTATGTTCCTCCTGGTAACTTTTCTTAAATAACTATTTCAGAACAAGAATGATTGATCTAAGAAATGAAGAGGTTAATATCAGGATATTATTGCTGGTCTCGAGGCAGTATGAGGAATGCCACAAGGAGTTGTGTTAACTACGGTAGAATTTCAGAATAAAAGTAGACATTAAAGTTGCCTAGACCAAGTCATGAAGGAATACCCTCTACAACATCTCCAATAGGCACCTGTCCCAGCTTTTACTTGAAATCTCTCAGTGATAACACACCTCCCTAGTCAGCCCATCTGGTTATTCATCCACACGCTCATTGCTGGGAAGTTCTGCTTGCTTACAAAGTTCGATGCCACTTAACGGTCCCACTTCTACCATGGGCCCATAAGGACCTCCAAATGATAATCTTTCAAATACTTAAAGACATGTATCTGTCATCAAAAAACCACTCTTGTTCCTACTACATCTCCCTTGAGTTATTCCTGGTGGCCTATGAGACCCACTTCCCTCCAGTCTTGCCTCCTCCAATCTGTTGATAATACATTAGTCCAAATAATAATTTCAGTGAAACATTTTCTAAAAAAAGAAGAAAAGTTTTATATAGCTTCTTATTGTTTTCAAAATAAAGCTCATTTTTTTCAACTCAGCCCTTCATCTGCTCTTTGTTTTTTCTCCAGACTCATCACTCATCATTCTTTACCTTTCACACAAAATCTATCAAACTCCAAACTGCTCTGAGTTCCCAAACCCATCTTTCTCTCCCATGTGAACCTTAATACATACCCTCTGTCTATAATATCCGCTTTCTTCACAAATAGATCACTCCTGTTTATCCTTTCTGATTCCCCCACCATTTCCATCACAAAGCTGAATCAGGCACCCCTTTTACAGCACTCTGCTCTTAATCTGTATTATAAATATTAATGCATTACATTACATTAAAATCATCTGTTCATCTGTCTACCACTAAAATGGAGCTCCATGAAGGAGTGGATTTGCTCTCTTGCTTACTACCGTATCCCCAGAGCATATTTCAGTCCTTGGAATATTGGAGGAGAACCATTACTTTCCATCAAATGATGAATCTTCAACCTTTCCTCCATGACTTAGCCACAAAAGAGTCTGTCATCCTGGTTGCTCATTTCCACAGCCCCATATATGTAAAAGTTTATTAGTGTTTATCAGAAAACGTGATACCCAAACTCAACCTTAATCCAAAGGCAAAGAAAGGAAGAAAAATCCTTGAAAAGATATCTAAAATTTTGTATGGCCTATGTTTCAGATCCAACTTCACCACTTTCTGCTTTTCTTACTCCGAGGCTACTACCAGCTGGGTCAGAATCACAGAATGTGGGATCCTACAATAGCAGATTAGTGGTTCTGCCAAACGTCTTTGGGAGTTTTTGTTTGTTCATATGGGAATTAAGGATAACTTAGTCATACTCTGTATAACATATGCGTTAAGCAGAACTTAATAGCTATTAATAAAATATTGATGCATTTATTTGGCCAAATATTTGGAAATCACCTGAACCATATCCAGATGGTAGCTTTATCTTGGCATTCAGTGATGTGAAAGTCATTGCTGAACTATGCTATTTATTATATATTCTATTGATTATTTTCTTCATGTGTTTACACAATGATTTTATTATACAGTACCTGTCTCAGACAGTGGTCCCAGAGAAACTTTTCCTTCCTGATGGCAGTCAGGCAATCTCTTCAATACATGTAAAAGTTGTCCCTAAACCTTTCATTTTCAAAGTCTGGGATTTATATGTTCTGCATAACGTTCTCAAGTTGTATATTGCTTAAGATTCATTGTATATTATTCCTCTTAATATCTCCAATTATTTTTCTCGTTATTCAATTTTTTCTATCCATCTTCATCACCATCAACAGACAGTCTTGTTTCTATAGTTCATTTGATCTTTTCTCATTAACATTTCTTCTATGGTTTTTTAGAGTTTTTGTACATATTCAATCATTTTCATACATCTTAAAACCTCTAACTCTTTGACAAAGTAAACATGCATAAAATTCTGTGACTGAATAACAACACACACAGAAAGGTAATTCTTCCAAGCAGTCACTACTTTTTTTTTATCATTTATAACATGTATAAATAGACATGGTAGTCACATAATCAATTGACACTTCCATGTAAATTGGTGATATGACTGGTATGAACACATGAAAGCTATGCCCAGGTGTACTTTGAGAAAACTTACCTAAGCAATTTAGATGATAGAAGGACAGATGGATGGATGGGAAAAGAAAGAGACTCAAAAAGAGAGAGGCTGAATTTCCTTTTACCCACTTGATGATTTTAAATGAACTTTAAGGTTAAGGCCTTTTTTTCCTCCTTAATTAGCATTCAGTGTTGGTGAGAGACTTAGAAGAAGCATTTCTTCTGAAGTCTAGTATCAGCTCAACAATTAAACCAACTATGCAGTCTTGGGCAAGTAACATCAACTCTGTAGGCCTAGTGCCCATATCTGCAAAAAGCAAACATGTTTATGAGGTTTTTTTCTACTTCCAAAAGCATATGAATTTGTGATACTAAAAATTACTCTACAAATACTAAATCATGCTTGTAGCATATATTTTTATCTCAAGTAAGGGAAAAGATGTATACAAAGGAAGGAGAGAGTGTGGAACAGTATGTGACAGAGACTAAAAACAACTGTAATTAATTGTTTGAACCATATTTAGTCAGAGGTTGGACAGAGGAGAAGAGCCTGTGAGCCTGAAACTCAGAAGTGGGATGCACTAACCAAGACAGAAGAATCACAGGAGGATATCATCTGGATAAGAAGACTGAATGGAAACAGTCAACATTTACTGGACAATGAGTTAATACTTAAAAAGCTCTAGAACAGTACTTATCACACTGTAAGCTTAAGATGTATATTTTTATAATAGGTTTATTTTTAGAAATATTGTGAGACTCAGACATTTTCCATAAATGTTTTTGATTTGTTGTTAAGGCTCAAAAAAATTGAAATGTCCATTGAATCATGACAATTTTCACATTCTTCCCTTATCTTCAGCTTTCCCAGGATAGTTGTGTCCACACATAGAAAAAAGAGATGGGATGGTTCTCAGAGACTTTTCTTACTTCCAAAGCGAACAGGTTGGTATTTGTGGGTCAGATTAACAGGAGTGAATGGGAACAAATGCTAAGAGGGCATGTCCTGACTAACTCTGGAAGGGACTAGAGTGAGGACATTCTGAGATGTTCTGGGAAGTCTAAGGGATTGCGAAGTAACATATACCAGAGGACTTCCAGGGACAATCCAGAGAAGGGACTAGAGCCCAAACTCCCTATAAATGGCTATGAATTCTCATTGCTCCTGCCCAATCTGCACTCATGCAAGGTGTGTCCAATAGTGCTAACTGGTGACTTAAAGAGTGCTTCGAAGGAACGTTAAGTTAGCAAGAAAGGGCCTGCCTGGACTCCTCAAAGGAGAATTCTGGCACTCCATGTTATATGTGAGCTGGGTGGTTCATGGGAAGCTGGAGCTGGAGGGCCCTTGCATGGAAGTAATGAACATTTTACTAAGTTACACGGTGTTTTCAATGGGGATTTGGGTTTGCTTTTTTTTTTTTACAGTGGGATATAACTCTTTCACAGTAGTATTGTAAGATGTGACCGCAAATTTAACGTGCACCTGGATGTAGGAATATTTGTGATCTTTATTGCAGATAGAAGGTTCGATAACACAAGAAACATTCCTATTAGCTTTTTTTTTTTTTTTTTGGAGAGGTTTTTGCTATAGGGCATGTGCACTTGCCAGACAGACAGA